AGCGAATAAGTAGGTAAGCAAGTAAGCGAAGTAAGCAAGAAAGAAATAAGTAAGTATGCAAATCAGAAAGTAAGCTAGTAAGCAAGCAAGTTATTTCCTTTTTGCTTACTTGCTTACCTACTTATTTACTTACATACTTACTTATATGTTTAATTGCTTACTTATTTATTTCCTTTTTGCTTACTTACTTATGTTTACTTGCTTACTTACTTACTTATGTTTACTTGCTTACTTACTTACTATTATTCATATTTAATTAAAATGAATAAATTATATGTTTAAAAAATAAGTATGTTATTGCCATTTTATATTTTCTTTTTACATGATTTAAAAGCATTTATTACATATTTGTCAATTAATAAGTGTTTAAAATAATTAATTAATGGAATTTTAATTTAAATAATAATAAAATGATTATTAATTAAGTCTAAATAAGTTGGAAAAATCAACTATTAGTGTGAAAGTCTTTCATTTGACTGCGGGACACTTGAAATAAAGTATTTAAATCCAGAAAACTAAAACTTTAGGCAAGTCAAGGAAGTTTTACCGAACTATTCCTGAAAACTAACACTTTAAGCAAGTCAAGAAAGTTTTACCGAACTATTCCTGAAACGTTAGTGCCCATCAAGGAGGTATTTATTTAATTTACAGTAAACGTTCAGTTTTAATTTTTTTTTAACTTTTACAGTACTAGTTCTTAAGGAATAAAGATATCACATTAGATTTTAAATATTGTTACCAAAAAAATAATATAAAAATTATTAAAAATTACGATTATGCTACTATATCCCAACTTTATTGAAAAATTCGGTAAAATGTAAGGAACAAATTTTCTCCGTGTAGCCGCGGTTGTTAAGCGTATTTAGATAGATAGGTCATAGGTACGGGGTTAGATTCCCATAGGGTTCAAGTTTTAATTTAATTCTTCCAGTTTAATTAAAATGTTTGTATGTTTGGAGTGTGCTAAGAATATAAAGTTATTAATGGTCATAAGAATTTTTTATTATTTTTTCCACAAATATTTTTTTTCAAAACTATCTGTTCAATTGTAACCACCTTGGATTTCCAATTGTGAATCGATATCCAAGTTGAAACAAGTTCATGTTGTACAATGTAACCTATTTGGAATTTCCGGTTGACTGTAATGTTCAAACTGAGACCAGTTCATTTTGAACTTGACATTCCAAATTCAAACCAGCTGAAAATACTTATCTACTGGTTTGAAATTGGAACTAACGTGACAATAACCAACTTAAAGCAAGTAGGCTCCTGATTCTACCCGGTTCTACTGGTTCTTTAATGTAGGGACGCCCCTTTAGAGTGCGCAGTTGATCCAAATTTGAATTGCGATACACAACCTCCAAATGAACAGCAGTGTGCCTTCTTTTCTCTCAGTGTAGGACTAAAGTTTGAATAGAATTTTAACCTGATCTCAGATATTCCGAAATTTAACCTGGGTCACTTGACGTGGAACCCGTCATATATACATAGCAGTAATTATTATAATACAATATTTTATTTAAATTTTATCATGCTTTATTACTTAATATTCATAAAATATGTGACCTGGTCTAGGAAAAAGGGGCATACGTGCGAAAACAAGTTTTCAAGAAAACAGCAGTTAAAGTCTCCCTTCGAGTTTGTCTTATCGAGAGTTGACTGTATGTACATATATATTACTCGGGGGTTTTTGGGGTTGTCGATTACAAATCTATAGTGTCACGTGTCAGATTTTAAAAATTCAATGTGGCGTATCCCATCCCACAAAGCACAGTATTTTTCTGCAAGTTTGCTGCAAGCAGAGATGCCATTGGGCGGAGGAATTTCATCCCCACTCTTGCACCATTTTACATTTAAGTCAATGTAAAACGGCGCAAGAGTGGGGATGAAATTCCTCCACCTAATGGCATCTCTGGCTGCAAGTTTTTCATGCAAAGTTCGCAAGTTCGCATCCAAGTTTGCAGCAAACTTGCATACAAATAAAAATGTCACCCTCTTGGCAAGTTTGCAATGAAAACTTGAGGAAAATTTGCAGCAAACTTTCTAAAATACCTAAAAAATTAAAAAAAATTTTTTTTTTCAAATTGCATATATTTTGATGAACGATACCTTCTCTGTGGGGAAGGTGAATAAAATATAGTGCGCAGCTCTAGATGTCATAGTAAACTACTGCGCATACATTTAAGTTTTGGCTATTTAAACAAGTTTGCTGCAAACTTGCAATGCAAACTTGCGAAATTTGCATGGAAAACATGCAGCAAACTTGCAGAAAATGTCTGTGCTTTGTGGGATATGTCGGACAAAATTTAAATTTTATTTAATTCGATTGAAATTCATTACTCGGGGGTAATGAACTTCAAGCTTATAAGTGGAATTTTTTTAAAAATATGTCCGCCATATTGGATCCGCCATTTTGAATTTTTTAAATTTGACTTCCGATTCGTAAACCGCGACCTCAAAAACCACCGTGTATCAAGTTAACAAAATAACAACTAACGAAAAAGTAACGAACACAAACTGGTCAGTCTTCCTCACAAACAATGTGAGGAACATGTTTCAAAAACATTTGAAAAAATGGGGTTGAAATCCCCAAAAGTGCGTTTTTTGCAGTCTTTGAAAAAAAATTGTGCTAAAACTTCATATGTCAGAAACTTTGCTCCTATCAGAAATTAAAGCTTGATGTATGCCCTTTTAAATGAGCCATAAGGGCCAGGGGCGTAGCGGGGGGTGGGGGGTCACCCCCCCCCCGAAATTTTAGAAAACATATATGTTAAAGCCTAATTTTCTAATTTTACTCTTAGTACACCTCTTATCAAATTCCATACCCCCCCAAAACCTATTTTTGGCTACGCCCCTGATAAGGGGTGTTTTAAAAAACTAACAAAAAACACCGATTTTGTTGAGTTATAAAAATAACAAACAATATTTGACACTTATTTTTTAAATATGCCTGTTTTTAGTTTTAAGGGTAGAAAACGCCCTATTAAGGTTTAAGAGACGTAATCAGTATCACAGACAGAATATGTTAGATGTTCACAAGACCTGTCACTCGGGGGTTTTAGGGGGCGCTGATTTTAAATATAATGTCCAATTTTAAAATTTAATATGGCGGATCTAACATACCTAAAGGGTTGGTGCAATAAATTTCGCTTAAGGCTCATTTAAAAGGGCATACATTAAGCTTTTATTTTTGATAAGAGCGAAGTTTTGGGGGGCTTTAACCCCATTTCTTTTGAAAACCTAACGTGATGTAACATTTTTTACTACAAATTCGTGTTCAGCACAAAAGTTGACTTCGGAAACACTTGGTCACATTTAATCCACAAAACCGTTACAGGGCTGTGTAATATTATAATATATATGTATAGCGTCACCTGACCTTCACTTTTAGTATTAAGTTTTAGAAAAAATTCAAATCCATATTATAATGTTTTTACTATCATTTGTAAATAATATAATTGTGTGTCTGAAGAAGTACAAAATTTTTGCAACTTGTAACAAAAAAAGGCGTCAACAATGTTTTTTCATAATCATATTATTAGAATTTTTCTAACTGTAGGGGAGACTGGGGCGAAAAGTTAAATTTTGCATAAATGATTTTTTTTAGACAATATAATTCGCTTAGATACAAATATTTATATATCTATATTGTAGGGCAACTTGTCCCCTTCAACTTTCAATAAAAAATTTTCTGATATTTTCGCATAAAATACATGTTTTGTCCTTTTTTGAAAATTTTGTTTTTTTAACTTTTCGCCCCATGCTGGGGCTAAATGTTAAATTCTATTTTTAGTTTTCTGATAGGTGTTAAGTAGTAGATAAGTTCAAGTATACGTAAACAAGTAATTTAGTTAATAAAAGATCTGTGTTTATTCAACAAAAGCTTTAGAACAGTTATAAAGTTAAAAAATAAAATTAAAAAAAAAAAAAAAATTTGGTTTATTTCACGTAAACGGTCTTGTTTTTTGACAGAGTACTTGCCTAATGTCAAATAAATCATTTTTAAATAAATAAACCCAAAAAAACGAAAAATAAAAAAAAAATTTTAACAACATGTAAAAATACATTTAACTTTTCGCCCCAGGGTGCGTTTTTGGCTTTAACAACAAATATAAAAAATCTCACTAAAGATATTTAGCAAATACCTTTAGGTATCTCTTCAGGGGACCCACATAATGAAGTAAAAAAATCGCGGTGAGAATAAAAGCAAAAAATATACTTAAAAGTTGATATTTTCTTTTACGAAAAAATTTTCAAATGTAGGGTGAAAAAAAATTTAAATATGGACACCACAAAAATGAACAGAACACCCTTCTATAATTAAAATTGCAATGCTCTAACTATTTCCGTTCGAAAGATAATGAATTTTAACTGTTTTCACAATTTAACTTTTCGCCCCAGTCTCCCCTACTTCGATTATCCCTAAATTCTTGTTTCATTGTACATAACGATAAGCAATAAAAGAATTATTTTTACTAAAAGTTTCTCCGTGTGAAAAGATCTCAAGAAGAACTAGAATATGTTCTTTTAGCATAAAATGTGTCTATCTTGCATATAGCAATTTTTCTTTATCTATTATGATCAATGTCTTATGACTATCTACTTTTCACTGTGTAAAGAGTGTCTTAAATTCTACCCGAATCATCAAAAAAAGTGGAAAATGATTATTTGACAACTAAGTCTCCTTTTCCTGGACCAGGTCACAGATAGTAAATTTCCAGTTTCAGAAAGAAAATAAGAAAAAAAATACTAAATTTAAAGAAAAAATATTTTTATTAAGAGTATTAATTTATTTTTCACTGACAATAGTGTTAAAAAAATAAATAAAATAAAAAATGTTGAAACGTTTTCATTCGTATAATAGTAAAACTCTCTGTTTTCTTTTCATTTTCATAAATCGAATTGAAGATTTTTTTCTGCATCTACTGGAAACGAAATACACGAAAAAATTTTTAGCATATAAAATTCAATTGAACATTAATGTATTCTAAAAGACTTACAGACAAAATTAGATAGACCTAATTATTTTTCCTCTGCCATTCTTTAGATTAGTTTGCTACATAACATACGTACGTATGTTATTTGTTGAAAAATTGCTTAAAAATATATTTGGGGCCAGTTTCACCAACCCCGATTGAAAATTAATCAATGATTACCCGACCAACAGTGAGCGTTTCAATTGACTTTAATCACTGATTAACTTTTAATTACAGTTGGTGAAATATACCCTCAAACTGTTCCCTTAATATAATTACAATTCTCTAAAATTATTTTTTTTTGAATTCTAAACATAAATTGTATGTCACGTATTTTGAAATTAATAATATCGGAAACAAAGAGAAATAATATAAAAGACAAAATAATTTTGAAAAAAATTCAGGGTGTCCAGCAAGTATTGAGAAAAAAATTCCCTGACTTTTCACTAAACTTACTTCTGATTTTTTGGGACAAAAATATGGTTACAAACATATTTAACAAGAAATTAATATCAAATGAGAGTAACAAATAGTAATAGAAACCATTTTAGTCTTGTTAAATTACAAAATTTTTTAATTCACAAAAAATTATAAAAATTTCCCTGACTTTCCTGACCGGTGAACACCCTGAAAATTATAAACTTATAAACAAAAGAATCTACTTTTTCGAATTATTTTGTTGTGTCTAGATATGAAATTGAATATTTAAGGGGATTCTCACCAAAAGGACAAATTACTTGTGCTAGGTGTCAGATGGTGTTTTTGTTGAAACATAATAAGATAAATAAATTTAAATAATTAATAATTCTGTCAGCTATGCGATATGATTTAACAGTTTATTTAGTCAATTTTGAATAGTATGGCTAGTAGAATTTTTAATAATTTAAAATACATATTTTATTAATTTTCAACAAAATACCGTGAACGATTGATTTGTCCTTTTACATAGAATCGCCCTTCAGACAGTTTAAACAATTCACGTATAAAAAACGAAAGCTGCTTTTTCAAAAACTAACAAACTCTGAAAAAAGCTTCCCAAATTTTAATCAAACCTAAAATCTCACATTGCATATCACTAAAATTAATATTTACATGTGACGCGATCTGAAGAAAGGGACCTTAGAAGCAAAAAATTATAGGTTATGTTTGCAATTTTTTAAATGAAAATACAAAAAAAGGATCAACTGTCAATATAAATCATTGATGTTTAAGTCTTCATTAAAACTAAAATATTTAATAAACACTGATTTTAATTCGAAATAAGTAAAAAGAAACTTTCAAACAAGAAAAAAGTAACTCTAACCCAACCTTAAAATGATTTGCTTCTAAGGTCCCTTTCTTCAGATCGCATCACACATTTACTTACACAAAAATGTAAGTTCATTAAAAGAAAGAAAATAAATGTTTGAAATATGTCAATAATGTAAACTTACTAAAATAAAAAAAATTTGCCTTACCTCTTTGAACATTTAATGTGAATAATGAGCAGCGCCAAGCCCATAACCAAGCAAATACAACCTACGACTATGTAAGCGATACCAAGGAAGGGATTTTTACCCCCTAACAGAGAGGTAGTGCTCAAAATCATTCTCTTCGATCCCTCAAAAGCGTACACTGAAAATGCTGAAAAATTGTTGGTTATTTAATACGGAAAAGAAAAGTTATATTTTAGTTTTAATTATTAATAATTGAAGCAAACTTACAATATTTGACTATCAACGTATAATTGCCTTCAACTAAACCATCTCTAAATCCAGCCTTAGAATGGTCAATTCGACGATACAGTTTTCTAAATGTCGGCAAAGCGGCAGTTCTCATCCAAACGATAAGATCTTCGTTTTGAAAACCATTATTATCTTCATTTTCAAGATCAAGTTGATAAATGAATTTACTCCAATTTTTTGGTTTAGGATTATCCTTAAAAATCTCGGAAAGATTGCCATCAGGATTACGAAATTTAATTCTTTTATCAGAAGGCCATGCTATGCCGGTCCTCAATAATGGTACAGTTTCATTATCCTTTTTGCGAAGTAACGAAAGTTCATCGCTGAAGAGGGAATTGGCAATTGCACCACAAGGGACAATCGGCTTTGTATTCGATCCTTCGTAAGCAAATGGAATGCAATCAGTTGAAACTACGTCACTTACTTCGCCGAGCAGTTGATTGTCGTCACGAGATTTCACATATCGGCGATGATTTTGATAGAAATTCGTAAGGCCATAATACATATAAACATTACCAAAAAAGGCTGTTGGCAATTCAATGTTTATTTCGCAAAAACATTCAAGCGTTGGATCTTTCTGTATTACTTTCGTGCACATTTCACCGAAATCACGCAGCGTATTATTCGAAACGCAATATGTGTAGTCAGTCGTGTGCTCTCTAACTTCGTCGGAAAAGTACAACAATCCAATGCCAACGGGAATGAAAGCGATTCCTATTACGAAGAAAGTCGGCAATACTGTTCCTGCAGTAAGAATTGGCTGCCATGCTGGTAATCGTTGCTGTTTAAAAGCACTATCTGAAATTTTTAAAAATAATGTGTTTCTAGCTTCAGCAAAACGGCAAAAGTTCCTAATTAGAAGGTCTTGTTTTATTTCACACAGAAATTACGACACTTTTTTAGGTAGCAAGATAACGTCAAGGTCAGAAATAGATTAAATCAATAAGATAAAACCTTCAAGTTTTTTCAACTATTTCAATAGTATTATTAAATATTTAAATGTCATCCAAATGAATAGATTTTTCATGAAAATGCTAAGAAAAGGCCTTCTAAATTTACATTCAATACAAAAAACCAAAATTGAAAATGGTTGTCAATAAATTTCTAGCATGAAAAGTGACTTACCAGCAGGTTTCTTCGTTTTTGACGGAGAACTATTAATGTCGTTAGTACTTGTTGACATTTTCGTAGAGAATAAAATACACAATAATATCAGTCAATAATCAGTATATAATGCAGGCCTCCATATTTTTCACAAATTCACCTTCTATAAGATTATTAGATGTTGACAATTTGTAATTGTCTTTGATTGTCTTTCAAGACACTTGAACTTATGATGAGTTAATCGCAGAGCAGAGGCAGAATATGTGAATCAGCCTAACCTTAAAATTCCCTCTGTCTATTGATATAATCACGAAGTAGTATAAGGAGACTTGACGGGCTGAAAAACATGGCCCCAAAACAAGGCGAAGCCTATCTCAAGTTTTCCGGTGTCCGACTGTTCAGCGCGACCTCCTCGGGAAAATTTACAACTAAGTGGTATATGTGGTTCGCCTGCTACCAATTTCAAATTAAAGAGCGCCCGTTAGAAATGTCAAAGATTGACTTTATTTATTCCAATTTTATAAACGAAATAAATTCTTTGTTTCTTGTCATATGATACCACTTATCAGAAGGTAATTGTGATTTATTAAATTTGATCTTACACTCTTCAAATGTAAGTTTTTCCATCGAATATTCCATGATTCTTTGTTTTTCTTTTTAATAATTAATAATATCTAAAAACAAAAATTATTTATGTATTTTCGTGTCTGTGAAAATCAATTACATAAATATAACCTAAAACAATAAACGTAAATATACAGTCAAAAAAACATGATCTCTTTAAAAAATAATGCTGAATATTATTTGTAAAGAAAGTAAGCTTTCATACGTACTGTCAAATAGTCTTATTTTGCTCCCATAATTAAATAATAAGTAATTATTTAAATTATTATTTATGTCATTCAAATGTAAACACTTCACAGTGCTTTAAAAGCAGACGTCACTATTTAGTTGTAAATTTTCCCGAAGAGGTCGCGCGGAACAGTCGAACACCGGAAAACTTGAGATAGGCTTCGCCTTGTTTTGGGGCCATGTTTTTTTGAACTATAAGGCCAACGCAGAATAGATCTGTAACCGGAACCGCAATCGTAACCGTAAGCGTAAGAATGAGTTAGAGAAGGATAAACAATATACCTATCCTTCTTTAACTCATTCTTGTGGTTACGCTTACGATTGCGGTTCCGGTTACAGATCTATTCTGCGTTGGCCTTTACATGGGCGTTAAAGGTACCGTCCCATGACGGCGTTAAAGCGTCGGCGTAAAGCAGAAATCGTGCGATAGAAAGAGATGAACAGATATCACGTTCTCACTCTCTCACATGGTTTACGCTAGGCCTAGTTTACGCTTCACGCCGACGCTTTCACGCCATCATGGGACGGTACCTTAAAGGTGCCGTCCCATGTCGGCGTAAAAACGTCAAAGCGTCGGCGTCAAAACGTAAATGCATGAGAGTGAAAGAAACAACCTTATATCTTTATCACGTTCACTCTCATACTTTAAGGCTGGAGTCCCATGGTAGCGTTTTGCGTTGCGTTTTGTAACTAGGCAATGAGTGCAAATAGAGCAAACCTATATCTGTATCTCTCTCACACTCATGGCCTAGTTACAAAACGCAACGCAAAACGCTGTCATGGGACTCCAGCCTAACGCCGACGCTTCGACGTTTTTACGCCGACATGGGACGGCACCTTAAAGGCGCTCTCACAGCTAGTAGGCAGCATACAAATTTGAATTTACTGTCTCTTTCACTCTAATTGATTTTCTCTCTTACTCCAATTACTGCCTGCGCAGGCAGGCAGAGCTGTGAGAGCTCCATAAGTCTCCTTATACTACTTCGTGGATATAATTATATTCTCTATTATACTCATATACTATATTATACACTCAAAACTGTAGCGCTGCTATCGTTTTGTTATTATAGTATAGTAAATGTATATATAGTTCAAACTAAACGGGATAAAATGCAGGTGAAAAGGCTGATCAAAACTTAAAAAATAATAATATATTCAATAAAAAGCTGCAAGTCTTACAAAACTCTTTGCAAATATTCCTTTATTTCAAGTTATTTCCATACAGTGATTATGAATCGACTAAACCTAGGTATATTTTGTGTATATTGTTGTATAAAATAAAACTGCATGATCATAAATTACTGACAACCAAACATTATTATAACGGAGTGTCTATTCGGCCAGTTAACTGTCAAAATAAGGTGGTTTAAATATTCTGCCAGTGAACTGGCAGAATAAGTTAGTTTTCTTATTTATCCAGTGTATCTAAAAAAATATACAATTAATATCTAAATCAGGCCAAATAAAAAAGGGACTCTATTTGGCCAGTCAAAATAAACAGTTTTTAATATCCCAGTAAGAAACGAAAAATTGAAAAGTATTAAAAAGATTCTATTCTTTTGAATGCCATTTCTGTCCAATACTTTTCTATCCAGTGTGAGAGCAATATAAATAGTAACGATATCAATCCTCTTGAATACCCAGTAAGAAAGCAAAGATTAAGAAGCATTAAAAAAATTCTATTCTTTTGAATACCATTTCTGCCCTATATGCTTCTGAATTCCGCGACAGTAGTATAATAATATAATACTAATATTGTTGACATATAGAATGTTCAATTACTTTTAAATAACTGCACTCATGAATTTATTTGCTATTTTAAAAAGGAATAATTATTAAATTATCAGTTAAGAGGGTTAAAAGTGTTTAAAGGTCTCTGAAATTTTTAGGTTATGATTTATTGTCTAACAGAATAACGGCCCTGACTCGTTTAAATGACGTTAAATTGGTAAACAATCAATTTTTCAGCAAGTTTTTCTTTGAACACAAACACTTTTTACAAAATCTGCCACTGTATGTATCATATAAATTACAAAAATCCAGAAGATTGCTTGAATGCATGCAGAAACGCCGTTCCAATGAAAAATTGAAAAGTGATATAATGACAGGCTGTAATAATTTCGGATGGGATTGGAAAGCATTCAGAAAAAAATTTTTTCTACCACACGCACCGAAAGTACACCATTTCCTACGTGTCAAGCGGGAGAAAAGTGTATGATTCCCTGCGAGCGGGAGGGAATGTACATTCCCTCCCGGCTAGTGACGTCACCGGGAGGGAATGTAACATTCCCTCCCTGTGAGGGAGGAAAAGTAACTTGCTTTCTCGGTAATATTATCAAAGTATGACCATTGATGAATCAGTTACGTGAGTTACGTCAGCTAAGTGACTTACGTAACTTACGCGAGTTACGCAAATGGTGTAGTTACGTAACTTACGTAAATGGTGTAGTTATGTTAGTCTTTCGAGTTACAAATAATAAATGATTTACGTAAGTTACGTAACTTACGTTACTTACGCTACTTGCGTAAACCTACGCTCTTTGGGTTAGTTTAGTTATTTTAAGCTTTTCACAAACTTTCAGTTACCACAGTTGTAACTGTACCGCCCCCAGCTACAACTATACATTCAAAAGTAACAATCAAACTGCCGCGTTTGTACTTTCGGTATACGTGTGTTAGAAAAAATAGTATGTGCAACTCGGGAGGAAAATTGATTTCCACTCGTGTTTTACAGTTCTCGGCTTCGCTCGCAAGCACTCGCCTTCGGCTCGTTTGCTCGCTACGCCTCGAACTGCAAACTACACTCGTCGGAAATCATCCATTTCCCTCCCTTGATGCACAATCTACTATTGTCTTTGTTAAAAATTACAAAAAGAATTGAATAGCATTCATTTTTAGACGAAACGTGGTCCTATCATGGTATAGAAAAGTATTGGATAGAAATGGCATTCAAAAGTATTGGATAATTTCTACTACACCATACAGAGTTTGAATTATTTCAATCCTTTTCAATTTTTCGTTTCTTACTGGGATTCCAATATACGGGCAAGCTGACATTTTGATAAATGAAAAAAACAACTAAATAGGTATATGAAGTTAGAGACAATTTAACAAAAAGGGTGCAAAAGGTGAAAAAGTAAAATCAGGGAAATGACATCATGAGAAAACAAATTTTTTTGGTGGGTAAATTAAGAAAATTGAGCCATTTTTCGATTTATTTTCAAAAATTTCGACTTTTCTTCCAAATATTGCAACAAAATACCTCATCTTTTAGTATAAAATGCAAATTATTTTCATTTTATAGTGCGAAAAAAAACTATAACAAATTTTTCAAAAATTATTCTTGAATCATTTTTTAAAATAATTCAAATTTTGTAAAATTTAATTGAAAACAATTATTTCTTTCAAATATTTTGTTACAATTTTTGAAAATTAACTTTTGAAGAATTTTCATTGTAAATTTTGAAAATAATTGAATTATCATAAATTTAATGAAAATTCTTTAAATGTAAATTTAAAAATGAAAATTAATGAAAAATAGCTTCTAATTTTTTAAAATTCAATATTTTCAATTAGGTACATATTTCTGAAAATTCAGATAATATAATAATAATAATAATAATAATAATAATACAAAAAGTAATAACATTTTAGAATCATTTTTAACATTTTGGAGAAAAAAATCATGTTCAAAATTTTTAATTAAAATTCCATAAGAAATTAATTATTTTTTTTTAAATTATACAAAAATTCTTTTAAGAAATTCAATTATTTTCGAAAAATTACATTAAAATATTATTAAAAACTAATTCTTCGAATTGTTTTATCATAATTTTTTAAGAATCAATTATTTTCGAACAAAATAAATAAAAATTGATAAAAATTTACTGTTTTAGATTTTGTTTAAATTTCTGAGAAATAATATTTAAATTATAGCTTTTCAATAGGCCAAAAAATACCTAATATATTGTCAGGGTGGTCACAAGTTTCAGGTTATCAATTTTTCTGACAATTTACTGGCATTAAAATTATATTCCCTGACAAATTTTTTTTTTACAGGAAAATATAAAAGTTTACGGAAAATGAGTAAAATGTATGAATTTTAATAATTTCCAAAAATAACAATTATAACCCTTTCTGAATTCAATTATTTTCTATAATTAACTACCAAACTTCATCTCTACATCAATTATTTTAAATAATTTTTCGAAAGTTCTATTAGAATTCAATTATTCAAATACAAAAAGTAAATTTTTTATAATAATTGTAATTGTCCATGTTTTTTTCTTAAGTTATTAAGGTATAATATTTTCTAAAAATTATAACAAAGAAATTCTTACAATTAATTTTTTTTAAATATTTTAAAATAATTTTTGAAAGATAATAGTTTTTTAATTATATACAATTGAAACATTTCCAAACAATTGAAATTTTGTAAAATCTTCTAAAAATAATTGAAGTTTTGAAAAAAGTATCTAAATAAAAATAATCGAAATTTTGAAGAATTTTATTTATAAATATGACCATTATAACTTTACCGATTTAGGAAGAAATTATAAGAAAACTTCGTGAGACACAAATTTTAGGAAATGTGTGCAGAATAAAAACAAATTGCTTTTTTTCCATCAAATGTGCATCAAGAACTTCTTCTATACTAACAACAAAAATAACAAAAAGCATAAGGTACTCCTACTTTATACAAAAATTTTTAACGAAATGTCTATCTTGGGGCATATATTTATTATTTTTATAATATTAATTATAATATAAATTTTAACAAAAATTTCTTAATAAGTTTAGTTCATGTCACACTTAAAGCAGAACCAATTTACCCGTTTTGGAATTTTTTTAAAAATTTGTAGAAGATTGGTTAAAATGTTAAATAATAAACAAACAAACATCCAACATATATTTATACCTGATGGGCGCTTTATTAATACAATGGCCAAATAGTAAAACCATCTTATTTTGCCAGTGCACTGGCAGAATTATTTAGTCATCTTATTTTGCCAGCTTTGCCCTTATTTCTAGTCACTGGCCAAATAATTAAACCTCCTTATTCTGAGAGTGCCCCCGCAGAATTATTTAATCATCTTATTCTGCCAGCTTTTCCCTTATTTCTAGTCACTGGCCAAATAATTAAACCACCTTATTCTGCCAGTTAACTGGCCGTATAGACATGGTCTTATTATAATTAAAGTAATAAATAAAAATATAGATATTTAATAGTTCTTTAGATTAATAAAGATTTTTTGAATTAAAATTAAAAATATTAATTGATGGTGAAATTCAAACTTTATGCTAATCGCTTAATTTTTTATTGTAGAAATAATATTATTGCAAATTGTTTAAATAAGTTTTGAAAAAATGCAAAATTTGAATTTCTTATTAAAAATAAAAATAGCCATTAATTTTGACATAAGATTCTAGTGGGCGCAAATTTTTTCTTGAACGTTTTGACGGATATGTCCTAAAATTTTGTAGGTGCAATCAGACACAAAAGGATTCACAAAAATATCCAATAAAATTTTTTTTTAATTTTTGAAAAAATCGTTTTTTATATTTTTTGAAATATGTAACTTTTTTCCTTATTTATGTAAAAATTTAAATTAATTCTTGTCAAAATTATATTCCGGGAAAACAAAGTTTATCTTAACAATTTGAAATAATTATTCAACAATAAAGAAGGAAGCGATTTGTAAAAAAAATTTGAAAATAATGATATTCCTATCCTACATCATGAGGAATGAAATGAGGCCATGAAATGAACAGTTTGTTCTAATTTTGAATAAAAACTATCTCTGTTTCAGAAAGAGAAGAAGAAAATTAGGAAATTTTTCATCAGGGCTTAGAAAATTTTGAGAAAATGACTTCCTACGTAATGGGTTTTACCTCCTCAGGAGGAATTCCATTATTTTCGAGAAAAAGAGGCGAAGGAGAAGCTCTTTCATTTTCAAAAATGGCATCCTTCAATGGAGTGCATATGTTTTTGAAATCTCACAATATTGAATTATTAGATAGCAAAACACCGGATACAATATTAAAATGGAAAGAGTTTGAAGAAACTGTCCTTATAATAGTAATGGCCAGTGGAATAACAAGCATAATTTTAAATAAATTCCTCGACGCCGTTTTTAATGCGATGGTTCTCGTTGTTGGAATTGATGACATTAAAAGTCCAAGAAGCATAGAAAGATTAAAAAGAGATTTACGTGCTTGTAACGCAATAATCGATAGATTATTAGAATGTCTTGACACCGGTGATAAAACTTGTATGAAAATTGATTCAGTAGATATGACGAGTTGCAATATTTATTCAGAAAATCATTTACTCCAAGTCTGTCTTGACACTTATATGGAATTACTGGATTCAATGTACGGCTGTGTTTTAATTCACGGTTGTTTGGCAGTTGCCACGGAAAATTGGTGGCATCTTGATGCAATAGAGAGGAAATTATTAATATTGGCAATTACTACTGAAAGTAATTGTATTGTAAAAGATCTTCCGGTATTTCTACCCAATAAGAGTCCAAGCGTTGCCTTTCGACTTGTTTCAGTTTCTCTTGGTAATCACGTTGAAGTTCTGTCACTTTGTGGACCAACACCAACTTTAATTGAAATTGAACGACTTGCAGTACAAACGTGGAAAAGTAATATTGATGTTTTAAAAGATGTTGAGCAAATATTTTCGAGAAATTTCTTCACTGCAATAACACTTGATCCGGGAATACTTGGATTCTTTTTAGCTAAGCATAAAGTGGGTAAATTTATATTGACGAGAAATCCTCAGCAAGCGAAAAATCGTACCAGTGGAAATCAACGATTAGAATCTTTGCGTACATTTTATCATCATGCAGTGGAGATATTTTTAATTGAGGAAAATTTCGATAACGATGAAGAGAAGAAAAAAAATTGCTCATTTATTGAGGGAGGTAAAGAGACTTATTGGTGTTCTGAGCATCACAAATGTCACGCTTTAAAAGAGGGTGACAATATTCTATGTGTCTTATATCCGTCCAATATTCCTGCTCATACAATGAGACTCATTACTCAAAAGACTTTAAAGGCAATTTTAGCAGAAAGACATTTTTGTTGGTGAGATTTTTTTAAAATTCAAATGGACGAAAATTGTCTTAATAATTATTAAAATTTTATTCTTACAATAAAATAATTTTTTGAAAAAATTAATGTTATTTTTTTCTTGGCAAATTTTAAACTCACTTCAGTATTAATTTTCAAGGAAAAGAAAATGAATAACAATTTAAAACTTTTCGTTTTATTTACTACTACATATACTACTAACTGTCGTACTCGTCTTCGACGGGTGTAATATTGAGACTTTAAAAGTTTTGAAATATTACACCCATAACCGAGGGGGTATAAACTCAGGTATAGTCAATGGTACACTCTTATCTTGTAATAATCGTGTAATATCGAGTAATAAGTCGTAATAAGAAGAAATATTTGGTAATTCATGTAATAATAGTGTAATAACGGTAGTCAAAGGTACACTATCTAAACCAGTAATATTATATAACCCCTCGCACCCAGACAGAGAATATACTACACTAAATTTTAAAAGTATTTTACAATTTGGGGAAAACGTGTAACATAGCAAAATTTTGATAGAAAAAATTCTAAACTTTAAAAAACTTATGTGAAATTTAATAAAGTTATATTAAAATTTAATAATATTAATAATAATATTTTGTAAAATGTATTAATTAACATTTTTCCAATCTAAGTCACTAAAATCTATCAGATTTTGATTTTTCTAACAATCAAACTTAAAAAAAATTTTAATTAATTTTCTAGAAACATTTAAAAAACTTTTAAGTTTGCCTTGTTTTATTTAAATGAATATAAATTCTGAAATATGTACTTTACATAAATGTTTTAATGTTCTTTAAATGAAGTTGAAACAGGCTTTAAAATTTAATTTTTAAAGTTAAGTGAGTGCTATAGTAACCGGATGCCAGTTTCAGCATCATATTTTAAAAGTAATTTTAATTTAAATATGTAATAATTAGTAATAATGTGATAATTATTTCCAAAAATAAGCTAGTCCAATTCTCATTATTATTTTCAGAGTTATGTTATATGTATATTACTAATTAAAAAGCGGAACAAATTTTTAACAATATATAACATTTTCAGATTGCGAGTGATATCTGATATCTTTTTAAGTTAACAGCATATATGTGACTGTTACATCTCCAATGCTAATTTTTCGACCATTTTTCTATAATTAGGATGGGCAGTGGGTGCAAAAGTTATTGTAATATTTTCAAAATTAATTATTATAAAACACTTTGAAATGGGTAAAAAAGTGAGGTTTAGAGTGACCATCTAAACTGATAATTTTTAAGTTTTTTATAATAATAAATTTTAAAAATATTAAAAATTTTTCACCTCATTTCTCATTCTGATATAAAAATATTGATACCATTGATACTTAAATAAAACAAAATAATATTCAACTAAAAAAACAAATTCAAAAAATCTTGGAATTTTATTGTGAAAATGAGGGGGCGCATGAAAAGACCCTAAACCAGACTTGTTAGAAATGTTATTTAATAGAATTTTATTACCTAGAATATCATTTTAGTAGAATGTATAATTGTTAGAATGATAGCTTGGCTGAATTTCCATTAAATAGATCATCAATGTCATCATTATCTATCAATTTGATAGAATTATTTCGGCGCGAATTCTATCAAATTGATATTCGGATAAGTTGAATTTCTAGTAAATTAATATTCGAACACATGATTGTACATTCTAATGAAGTAGATTTCTATCAAAAAGATTTTCGGCAATATTCAGATTCTATTTAATTACGCTTCTGTAAAATTACGATTCGCATAAATTGATATTCGGTTAAATTAGATTTCTGAAAAATTGAAATTCGATCAAATTGATTTTCTGCCAGATTATAATTCGGACGAATAAATATTCTACTAAATTAAAATTCTTTCTACTAGTCTTTCAGCTTAATTAATCTTCTTTTAAATTTCTATTCAGCTTAATTTAAATTCTGCCAAACAACTTTTCGCAACAATTAAAATTCAGTCATATTTAATTTCTCTGTCTCATTACTATTCTTACGATTAAAAATTCTGTAACATTGATGATCGATTTAATGGAAATTCAGCCAAGCTATCATTCTAACAATTATATACATTCTACTAAAATGATATTCTAGGTAATAAAATTTATAACATTTCTATCAAGTTTGGTTTAGTATACCCTAAACCAAACTTGATAGAAATGTTATAAAAAGAAAAATATGAAAAGACTACCGTCTTTTCATGGGCCCCAAAATGAGTTGTATTTGTGCAAAAAAAATAGATAGTGTATTAATCTGCCAAAAAATGAAAAATTTACATTTTTTTTATTTTTTGAAAAAAAGTCATAACTTTTGTTCAGCTTAATATGGTGCACAAAATATGGTGCAGAAAGACAGAGACAGAATTTTTTTTAATGGTGTTTTTTGTCATTTTTATTCCGTAAAAGGAAAAATTATGCTTAAATTTTTAATTTCTGAGCAATATACAGAAATAATTATATATATAAAATTATAAATACAAATAAATAATTATTTAGTATTTAAATTTCCCGGGTGAAAAATTGGTCAATATGGCGACAATCAAACCCCGCAGCAGAAAACAAATGCGTCGGCGTCGGAAGAAAATTGCTCAAAAAAGCAAAAGAAATATTATTTCAATTGTTTAAGTTATTTTCTGTGAATTTCTGAAAAAAATGAGTGCTTTACAAGTTCTCTGATTGATTAAATCAACTCCAATTGAAACTCAAATCAATTGAAAGAAAAAGTCAGTTAAAAAATCTTAATGGAAGAGTAGAATTAATTTAGTTTATAAAAATCGTAAAGGACTCGCGTGGATTTGGATTCGTTTCACATACACAAATCAGAATGTCCCAGGACGACGATGTTGGTTTTTTATATAAAACTATGAGTAAGTTATTATTATGTATTCATTGTTTATCTTATGGTAATAATTAAAAAGATGTATTGTTAAATTAAATACGTCAATATAAATTATATTTAATACACCAAAAAATTTGAATTTCAAAGAATTTTTTTAAAATTTACACCAATTTGTTTTTACATAATAAAAAAATTTCAAATTATTTAAATTTACAACATTTTAATTCTTTGTTTACTTAAAAATCTTTTAAATAAATTTTAACGTTAGGTACTAATTTAATTCAATTTAAACGTGTAATGCCTAATTATTAAAAAAAACCTAAATTCCGTAAATGAACATTTTTTTTCATTTAGCTTTTACTAACAATAGAAAATAATTAATGTTTTAAAAATTTAAAAATTCTTTGATTAGTCACTGTTTCGCGGGTATTTCAATAACGAACATGGTTGAATTTTATCACTATTTCTTTGGACATAATATATTGTTTACATGCATGGAATGGTGGTTACATGTGTGCACATAAATGTCTCATTAGTGGTTATTTAATTAAAAACAAATATGTGTATCGTTTGCATGAAAAGGGTCAATTTTGGCAGTATTGGAATATGCTATATGAGCATATATTCTTGATTAAATGTCGAACAATTTGAGTGGTCTTTAGGTGAAAAATTCGTCAAGTTATAAAGATTCAAAGTTAGAAGTGCGTCAAAAACCTAATTTAGAGAAAAACGAGTTTAAAATTCAAATCAACGATTAGTTCGGATGTTAGTTAAAAATAAGATATAATAATTTTGCACGCGAAAAATGCATTTAGTATAGATAAGTTAATAATGAATTTTTAAAATTATATTTCCAACTCTTTTCTTAATATAAGTTTTAACGTCAAAGATAAAAGTACCGACATACTACATAAAATTTATTTTATTATAGTGCATAGTTGTGAAAATCTTTTTGTATTTTAGTTTTTACTTTTTTAAAGAAAAACGATTAAAGAATCATGAATTCGTGTAAGTATAAAAGAGAACCTAACCTTAAAACGCTTAGCAAATCATAGCAAATAGCGAAAGTAGCGCTAAGATGAATTATAAAATATAATAAATAAATTATAAAGTATAATTATACTTTATGAAAAAGATTTTTTATATATTTTTTATGAATCCTGTAAAAGGAGACTACTTTTATGTATATAGTGTTTAAATTAAATATTGTTTTTTTACGAGTATGCAGTAAATTCTATGTAAATTTAAATTTTAAAGACGTTTTTGTTTATATGTAGTTTTCTTTTCGATAATAGTTGAAAGAGATCCAAAGAAGAGAAGAGTCAAGCCAGTTGAATCTGCACATCAATCATTGTTAGATTTTGATTTGGGCGAGAGTTCAGATGACAGTGATTTTCGAATAGAGGATCATTGTGAAGAGTCAGATGACGATTCTGTAGATTCGAATGATGGTGTCAAAGGTAATTTAACTAACTTCTGGAGTATTCTTTACCCGGTTTATATTTAACTACAATTTTAAACTTTCAAATAAATAAAATTTTTTAAAAAATTACTATATTGAATTGAAAAATAATGTCAATTCAATATTGGTCTAGTTAAGAATTAATTGTTTTAATATACAAAATATTTTTGATTAAAATACAGATTAAAATTAGTAAAACAGATATCGACGATCATTTGAAGTTTGGAAACTTTAGGGACATCGGTTTAATTGTTTTTTTTTTGTTAACAATAGGTGGTGAAGATGATTCCGAGGAATCAGATGATTCATTGGAAGATCCTTTATTGGGAAAGAATAGTACCGGGATGACTGTTGGAGATGTTATTGAACAAGCTCGTCAGCAAGCAGTTAAAGGTGGTCCAATTGATGAGAAACTAGCAAAAATGCTCATATGTTGCGGTTGCCTTGGCGATCGTAGTGACGATATCAATGAAATTGTTGAATGCGACGGATGTGGAATAACTGTTCATGAAGGTAGTAGAACTTGTTTGATTTTTATTATATTAGACAATGATATAATTATTTATATTCTATAAATATTTTGCAAGGTTGCTATGGAGTATCGGACGTGGAAAGTTTCTCGAGTACAGATTCACTATCTCAATCGGCGCCCTGGTTTTGCGAGGCTTGCAGTGCTGGGATCGATGATCCATCATGTGAATTGTGTCCAAATAAAGGTGGCATCTTTAAAGAGACCGATGTCGGAAAGTGGGTGCATTTAGTTTGTGCATTGTACGTTCCTGGTGTTGCGTTTGGTGAAGTCGATCGGTTAGCGAGTGTCACACTTTTTGAAATGGCCTACAGTAAATGGGGAGCTAAGCAGTGTTCTCTGTGTGAGGATTCACGATTCGCTCGCACTGGCGTTTGCATTGAATGCGACGCTGGAATGTGTCACACTTACTTCCACGTTACTTGGTAAATCAAATTGTGATTTTGATTTTTCATTTTTCATGTTTTTCATTTGAAATTGATTCAATTTTGATCCTTCAGTGCTCAAAGAGAAGGTCTTCTATCGGAGGCACATAGCGAGGAAGTTGACCAGGCAGATCCATTCTATGCTCATTGTAAATTACACTCAGACAAAACACTTGTGCGTAGAAGACGACGCAACTGGCTTGCATTACAATTACGTGCTCAACATCGTTATCAATTATTGAAGCAACCCGAACATCAGGACTCTGAAGAGCAACGTAGAATTCAACGAAAATTAGCGAAACATCGACACAAGTATTTGGCACACAAAACTTCAAGACCTTCCGCCTGGGGTTAGAAAAATTTGCTTTCAAGCAATTAATTATTGTTGTGTGTTTTTATTTTATTTCTTTTCTTTTTGTAGTTCCAACTCAAAAAATGCCCCGACTGTTAACAACATCTGCCTCTGCCTGTCGACAATTAACACGAAAAGCTGAATTAATGGGAGTCGATACGAGTGCATTGGAAGCACAAGAAGCTCAATTGGTTGCATTAGTTGATATAAGAAAAAAATGGCACATTCCGCCTGCTTTTAGTGTCGAATTCATTGGGTACTATTTGGATAGAAATTTACGTGTCACTTCCATGAAAAGAAGACTGGAGGAATTACTTGACATTAATAGTCAACTCCTCAACGAGCAACAGTCGCTCGACAAAAAATACGATCAAGTTATGAAGGAAAATGAAGAACAAGTTAAGAATAATGTTTCATTAAAGGAAAAAATTGAAATGTATCATCGAATTTTAAGAACAGCTGGTTATCTTAAACCGCTACCAATAGTGTCCGATATTGCAAAACCGAGAGCCCCACCAACTCTAGGTATTTTCTTTGTATTTAATCTTTAAATAGAATAAATGTAATTTTGTTTGGGGAAACCTTTTCAGGTGTGCCAACGGCAGCTGCTTTAAAAATGGGCGTTGGTTTTCCACTTCCGGTTGGAAAGGGTGATGGTGGCCGGGAGGGAAGAGTACTTAGTAGTCAAGCTCAGGATCAGAATCACAAAGGAGAATTAACTCTAAGACATCAGTGTGGAATTTGTAGAAGATCAACTAATCAACATCTTCTAGCAAAATGCGACACATGTCATCTTCATTATCATCTCTCTTGTCTCAGTCCACCATTGTCACGGATGCCGAAGAAAACTAAACTAATGGGCTGGTGAGTTCATTGTTTTCCAAGTATTCAAAATTATAAATTGTCAGATTTCATAGTATTTTAATTTTAATAGGCAATGCTCGGAATGTGATAAAGAATCCTCAGGTTCGGAAATTGAACGCGTTGATACTTCCGCTCCACGAAAATTGCGACATTGCAAAGATGAAAATCATATAGCTCCACTTCAAGATTTAACATCCTCCTTTGTACAGACTCCGACAACTTCTAAAAGTTTTGAAAATAATATTGATAACACTCCAGAGACTCCCACTGCTCCGAAGGTATCTAAAACTATTCAAATTTATAATTTTGCTGTTTCTGAAAAATTTACCATTTCCAAATTATAACCACTTTAAAATGACGATGGGTGCCAACAAAAACAATGTGTGACAAAGTTGACACTAGATAACTTTGTAGATAATCTTCAAGTAATTTCTTTTTCAGTTAACTATCAAACAAATGAATCTTTATCCATTGGTGGAGCCGATGCAGGTTGATGAAGTTAATTACAATCACCAGATTAATAATATAACGGCGAGAGAAGGTTCACCCGAGTACATGGTTGCTTCAGCTGATGGCACTGAATCGGTTTCTCAGCGAAGCTTGAAAAAGCGAAGAAGAGAAAAACATAAACGATATACACCTGATCCGATAACTGGAATTAAGCAAAGAAAACGGAAGCACAAAAGAAAGAGTTTAGATATCGAAAATCCAGAAGGGCATCCAGGACATCCGGAAATTCATAGAAGAATAACAATTAAGGTATTTTTGTTATTATTATTATTATTAATATTACATATAGGCGATTCCACGTGAAATTTACCAATCATCTTCTAAAATCGATTAAACATAATTTTTTCGTTCTTTATAAAAAAATATGATATACATTATACAGTCGGAAATTATCCGTACGGCTCCACGTGCATGGCAATGTCAGAAAATTAACAAATATACCATTCGAAAGCTTTTAAAAATTGCAGACAAAATTTGAAACTTAACCCTCCGTCACACACCTAGGGAGGGATTCCCTCTACGGTTTCAGTATTTTTTAAATAACTTTTGTTTTCCTCATTGCAAAATAAAATGAGTTTCTATACCTTTCGACAATTTACTCCTCAACACATTTCTAAAAAAACATTTAGTTTAAACATAATTAATATTTAATTATGAAGCTTCAAAGCCAGAAAAAACTCGAAAAAGTGAGGTTATGTTAAATAAAAAAATCAAGTTTTCAAAACATTTTTTGTTCCACTGTTGGTTAATGACAAAATTATATTATAAATATAAATTAAAATAAATTATTTAATGATTTTTTTGCTTATTTGTTAATGTTACATTATTTTTACATGGAAAGTGTAATTCCTTCGAAGATGTGCATTCGTGTAATTAATTTTTAGGGTTCCGTACCCGGTAGGAACCCTATTAAAACGGTTACGGAAAATGACCATGTACCTCCCCCCCTAGCGCTCACTGTTTTTCATTTAGAGAGATAAAAATTGGTACACGTATGTATTTTCACGCGTAGATTACACGAAAAATATAGCGACCGTGATTGGAGTTGATCTTCATAGAGTTTTCCGCGAAAAATATCAAATTTTGGCCGTTTTTCGCAAAAAAGGCATGTAGCCCCCCCCCTAGCGCTCACAGTTTTTTACCTACACGGAGAAAAAAATCAGGGCTTTTTAGCATAGAGTGGTCTATACCTTTAGCGCATGGGCGCTTCCTTACGGCGAAAGAACGAATTTGTAGGATCGCAGCAAGAGCTCGCCCTATTTTATAGCGAATTCGGTTATCTGCTCCAAGAGCGATCTTGCTCGGTGTAGGAGTATAGTTTACTCTGCTCTCAAAAAGCTGTGCTCTACTCTGAGGGTGAGATCCCATGTGAACAGAATATGTCGACCGAATGTTGTTCTTTTCACTCTCATGATTTTCTGCTTTCGGTCGACGTATTCTGCTCATATGGGATCGCACCCTGAGGCACTCTATGACGTCATGAACACTGGCAAAGTTCGACTGTTTTTGGAGCAGGAGCACAACATGAACTGCTATGGTGTAAAGCACCCAGCGGGCACACTTCTCTTTTTGATAACTTCAAGTTATCGTTTTGAGTAGATGTTAACATTTTAATGCCTTTTAGTTATCGTGTGCCCCTTGGGCATACACTGCTCGTTTGGCGCGAAGTTTAAATTTAATTAAACTTATATAATATAATGTAATATAATATTATATTTATTATATTATATATATTATTATACATTATATTATGCAATATATTTTCTTCTTAAATGTAAAATTATTTTACTTAAAATTATTAAATATTTTATGATGTATACATCAATAATATTTTTAAAAGCAAAAAATTTGATATTTTTATTAGAATTTTAAAATTTTATTCGGTCAATGTTTTGATATAGCAGAATTGTTAATCACAAAATTATCGAATAATATTTCTGATATAAATTTTGTTTACACTATTTGACATTTTGAACTACTAACAACAACAATAATAAAATAAGTGAAAAGGTTATTTCTTTGAGACCAAATAATTACTTTATAATGAGTATTTTTATTTAAATATTAAAAATATTGAAAATTATTTACTGTTTTTATTAAATATTAAAATATCAAATGTTAGTCTTTCTCTAAATACAAAATTCATTATAAAAAACATAATTCGTCTTCACTACTATCGCTAGAGGTGTCAATTAAATCTGTTAGAAGTGAAATTTTTAAATTTGCCGCTTCTCTTGACATTTTTTTAAACTGCACTAACAATATTGTATGGAAGCAAATTTTGTTGCACCTTTCGATCCTTGAGAGTGCACACTTCTTAATTCGAACACAAATAACGATCTGCGCCGGAGCAGTGCTGCCAAAACGAATACTCGAAACGATCTGCGCCGGAGCAGTGCTGCTAAAGCGAATACTCCAAACGATCTGCACTAGAGCACATTTGTCAAACCGAACATGCTACTCCTGCTCTGGAGCACTCCGAGAGTGCTCCGGTGCAGAATGCAGATAACCGAATTCGCTATTAGTAAGGAGCCTTGCTGCAATCGTACGAGTTCGTTCTTTCGCCGCAAGGAAGTGCCCATGCGCTAAAGCTATAGAGAGCTGAAAATTGGCATACTTATGTATTTTTTCGCGTAGATTACAGGAAAAATTTAGCGGAAGTGATTAGAATTGATCTTCATGGTGTTTTCATCGAAAAACTAAAATGTCTTTTTGCAAGCTCGAAAATTCGTTAACCCTTGCTGGTTCTCACAATTCTTAACCTAGTGGACTGGCGTTATACATTTTTATTTTTTTTTTCGTGCAGATTTTATCTTCATATTTTTTTCAGCGAAAAACTCATTTAAAAATTTCGTTAAAAAAGCGTGAATTTCACCCTAGCACTCACAGTTTTTTACCTGGAGAGTTGAAAATTGGTACACTTTTGTATTTTCACATGTAGATTACAGGAAAAATATAGTGGAAATGATTAGAACTGATCTTCATTGCGTTTTGAGCGAAAACCTAAAATTTTTTTTCAATTTTTGATAATAATTATACCTATGCTAGTTCTCTCAATTCTTAGTCTAGTGGACTGGCGTTGGGCATTTTTTATTTATTTTCACGTGTAGATTACAGAAAAAATACAGAAAAAATTATTAGAGTTCATCTTCATTTTTTTTTGCGAAAAACTAAAAATTTTTTCGTTTTAGAAAAAAAGTGTGACCCCCCCCCCTTGGTTTTCACAATTCTTGGCCTATTGGACTATAGTTTTGCTTATTTTATGTATTTTCGTGTATAGATTTCAGGAAAAATACAACGAACCTGATTGGATTTTATCTTCATATTTTTTTCAGCGAAAAGCTTAAAGTTTTTAAAAATTTCGTCAAAAAAGCGTGTTTTTTACCCTAGCGCCCGCAGTTTTTTATCTGAAGAAATGAAAATTGGTTATTTATTTATTTTCACCTGTAGATTACAGAAAAAATACAGCGAAAAATATTAGAGTTGATCTTTATATTTTTTTCAGCAAAAAAGTAGAAGTTTTAAACGAGGGTACGGAACCCACGGTTTTAGTACGAGTTCTACTCGCACTTGTCCGGTTTTTATTTTTGAGACCGAAAATTAATTTTATTAATTTTATAATTTAGAATAATTTACTACATATATTTGTAAGTTTGTGTTAAAACTAAATTTTTGTTGATTCCTTTGTTTAGGTTGTAATGTCGCTTATTTTACAATGTGGTGAGGGATTCCCTCTAAACGTGTGTAAAGGTGTAATTTTTTCTAAGGTGTGTGACGGAGGGTTAAATAGATGTCATCATTCAAGTCTCATCTTTAACTTAAGACCAAAAAAGTTAAAAAAAAATCTCATTCGGTTCGCGAGATATCATTATAAACGTCAGAGTGTTTTCAGTCAAAAACCGTAAAAAATTGACTATTTCAATGTATTTGTTCAAAAACATGCTCTGACACTTATAATTATATCTCGCGAACCGAATAAGATTTTTTTTAACTTTTTTGGTCTTAAATTAAAGTTGAAAGTTGAAGGAGAACACCTATATGGGTAGTTCCACAAACGAGGGAATATATGATGTCCAAGATTGTTTCTTACATTAATTTTGAAAAAAATAAAATTATTTTCAATGGGAACTGTAGTGCTTAATAATGATTACTATTATGCCACAAAGCGTTACCCGGTTTCAAAAAATATTTTTTGCAAAAAATAAGCATTCAAGTGCTGAATTCTCAGTTTCCTGGCATGTCCCAATGTGAAAATGAAAGTTAATAAATTATATAAATATTATTTTTAAGCGATTAAATACAAATTTACACTTGGATAATAATTTCAAATAGTTGTGCTTTACAAAGATTAAAATAATAATTATTGTTACATTACTTGATATTTTATTTAAAAAATATTATCTTGAATTTTGTCCATCGAATTAATTCTCAGTTTCCTGGCATCATAAAAAACGTTAAAAATATTAAGAATTTTCATTCCGATTAATTCATCATTTTTCACAGTGCTTAGTAAAGGTTAACTAAATATGATATCACTTGCATTTTACTTAACTTGCAGTTCAATTAACTAAAATTGTGTACTTTGTGACCGAAATGGCCATTTGGTCAGACAAATTCTCAGTTTCCTGGCACGCATTTTAAAAAAAAATATTTTATGTTTTTATACTTTCGTTGCTCGAGGTGTCGTAGAATCTTATTCCCTGTTGACCAGTATGCTTTATTTTGTTATTAAGCGTTATTTTTCAATTTTTTAGACGAAAAATGACCAAATTCTCAGTTTCCTGGCACTTTCTGACAGAATACACATGTGCTTAAGATGTAAAATTTACAATTCTTATTTTTTTGACTGGCCACTTTTAGGTAACTTCGATATTACTTTTAACTTGAATTTAAAATACTTTTTAAAACCTGAACGTAAAAAAATATGATACCCATATTTTTTACTTCGCCATAAAATTGTTCCACGGAAGTGAAATAATAACTCAATACACAAAAAAACTGAAAGTATTTCGATTTAAAAGAAAAAACTTATATTATTGGTGAAACTTAGCAAATCTGTTTCTATTTACCCCAGCTGACCCTATGCGATTTCTAAAACAATTTTTCAATATAAATTTTTTTTTTAAATTTGTCGATTGCTGAAATCTTTGTGTAATTTACAAAAATTTTCAAATGTTTATCATTTAACGTAAAATATTATAAGCTTTCAAATGGTATATTTGTTAATTTTCTGACATTAGTTACTACACGGAAAGAAAAAGTCTAAAGAATATTTTAATATATTATAGAAAAGTTGGACAAGATCCCAGTAAAAAAAATTCGATACACGGACCGCAGAGTTCGTATACGAGCTCGGTAGCTCGTATGAGAAATATGAGAAATCTCTCATACGAGCCTTTTCCGTAATTAGAAGTGTATAGATGCTTGTATACGAGGTGACTTTTAAAGCATTTTTATTAATGTAACACTATTTTAAAGTAAATGTAGATAATAGAAATGAATTTTCTCATCTAAAACAAAGCTAAATTCATAAAGGAAATGAAGTTTTAAGAAAAAAAGAATAATTTTGTTCAAAAAATTTATTCACACTGAAAAAAGGTTAGAATTTGATAATTCCTTGTCACTCTTACTTACCGACATTAGATATTTCTCGGATGCGGTAAGCACGATTTTGTATTAAATTTAATTATTTTATATAAGAACATTTATATAATAAATAAATAATAATATATTATTAATTAGTAATGAAGAAAAACTTATTTATTTTACCGCTAATACAAAATCGTGCTTACTGCATCCGAGAAATATCTAATGTCGGTAAGTAAGAGTAACAAGGAATTATCAAATTCTAACCTTTTTTCAGTGTGTATAAATTTTTTGAACAAAATTATTCTTTTTTTCTTAAAACTTCATTTCCCTTATGAATTTAGCTTTGTTTTAGATGAGAAAATTCATTTCTATTATCTACATTTACTTTAAAATAGTGTTACATTAATAAAAATGCTTTAAAAGTCACCTCGTATACAAGCATCTATACACTTCTCATTACGAAAAAAGGCTCGTATAAGAGATTTCTCATACGAGCTACCAAGCTCGTATTGGCAATGAAAATTACCACCGCGGGCTCGGTGTCGCTAGTGTTTTACACCAAAAATGGACGAAATGGGTGTACAAATTTAAAAAAATATAAACTTAAATTGTGACTTTTCGGTTTTAATTTTAAGTAGTTTTTCAATAAAAAGATAAATAATGAACAACAATCTTAACAAATATTTCTTAAACATTAGAATACTTTAAATATTAACATTTTTTTCAACCTTGTACACCCACAGCAGCCATTTTTTTTAGTTCACTTTATGGTCACTATGTGTCGCATTGCAATTTTAAATCCCCAATACGAACTCCGCGGTCCGTGTATCGAATTTTCTTTACTGGGATGGACAATTTATAATATTTATTTGATTTCCTGAAAATTATTTCAAGATGTCTAAGAAAATTTATTGTGCGTATGATAAAACGTTTGAAATGTATTAAAAAAATTATAAATTATAAATATTCTCATATAATAGGAAAAATGTTTTTAACTGTCGTAAAATTATTATTATATTTTATGAAACTATCAATTTACAGAAGTAAAATTATTTTAATACTTATAAGAAAGATGAGTTCAGATGTGTATTTCAGACAAGTTTAAAAAAATTATTATACTGTATGAAATATTTTGAAGAATCGCGTACGCGTCAGTTGCGCAGTACTCTGCTGCGCATATATTTCCACAGTGAGAATGTCCACTATTATCGAAGGACCACCTGCAGCGTGCGTTGCGTAGCTAGTTGGTTGGGGTTGCGTTCTATTAATATTAGGGTTGTGCGTTCGATTCCGGTCGTTAGTAGATTTTCTGTTAGGTACCCAGATAACAAAATGCGCGTTGTGTGCTGCTAATATCATCTGCACGCGTGCCGATTTATCCGCACTATGCGCGTTCACTGGACCACTCAGATGCGTCATCATATGCGATCCATAACTGTCGCATATTGTGATGGGCACATGCGTGACGGTATAATGCGAATAAATTATATTTATACTTCAGCCTTATTTGAATTAAATAAAAAGAAAAGATTATTGACATTAGTAATTTTTTTTAAATTAAAATGTTATTTATAAAAACGATTTTAATTTAATATTTCAGTACAATTTTGGAATTGAAATTGTTAAAAACTTCCAAATTCTTTTTTTGAGGTTATATCTAATACAACAAAAATATATATGTACTTTAAACAAATTAAATTTAACTTTCTTATTTTGCTGCAGTACTAAAAATTAAATCCACAATAATTCCTCACAATAATATCGCAATAAAAAACAATAAAAAATGAAATCACAATAAAAACTTATTTTGATAACACACCACAAACAATGCTGTCGCCATTATAAAATGTGTGATTGCCGATACGGGTGGTTGCGCATCATTAATTGCGTGCGTATTAAGTGCAGTTCACTGCACACGCATTCACAGCATTCGCACTGTGGATGGTAAAATGCGTATGGATTGACTCTTCTAGCGAGTCGCACTTGTGAACGGAACATGCTTATCATTTTGTATCACAGGCGCTTACGAAATGCAGTTCACAACACTCGCATTATTACCAGCGTCACAGACGATAGTAAGATGCGTATATGAACCGACTCATCTGGTAAGTCGCAGTTAGTGCAAGAAACATGCGTTTAAATGCGACGCACGATTGTTATCTGGGTAGGCTATCATTAAGTATAAATAAATGTTTAGAGTTTATAATGTATGAATTCTGAGTGCAACATCAAGATACGTGGTGCTTTAAGAAAATTTAAAAACTAAAAGGTAAACTATATAAATTTTTTTAAAATAAATTTTCGGTATGACAGAAGTCATTATACATTTCATTGTCAGCTTTAATATTTATATACAGTATAGTAATTTACTTTATATTGATTCAACATATTTACTATATTGTATTAAGAATATTTCAATGAAAATATAAGGATTAAATATTTCATAGAAAAGCTTTGTATTTTAAGATAGTATTGTAATTTATTTCACATTGATCCAAATTTTATTTATATTTGTCTTTATTTTCTTTAAACTTTATTGTAATTGTTATGAATATGAATTTGAGATACAGTATTGAAACATTTTTAAAAAGTGACTCTTGTCCAACTTTTTCATACAAACATTAAAATATTCTTTAGACTTTTTCTTTCCGTGTACATCGCCTGGGTAGTTTTACGTGTAGACCTCCCAAAACTGGTATACCTCCACGGTCCCCCGTGGGACACGGGGCCGAGATACGCTCGGCCAACGTCGACGGAAAGTTGCATTTACAACCCCCCGTCTACCCACCCCACAAGCAACCAACGGGGATTACTCATAGGGACCCTGGGTAGGGGCCGGGACCTCTCTAATCCCTGGTTACTCTGCAGGTAACCGCCCGAGTTGAGGACCTGCAACTCACTCAGTCAGGCGTTAAACACCCCTTAGGGTACGGTCCCATGATGAGCAGAAAACACAATGCAAAGCAGAATTTCGTGTGAGTGAAAAGGATAGTGATATCTGACTATCTCTCTTGCACTCACGAAATTCTGCTTTGCATTCTGTTTTCTGCTCATCATGGGACCATACCCTTAGTGATCGGATTTTTTTTTGAGAATCGATTCTTATAAATTAGTCGATTCTAGGAATCGAAGAATCGATTCTAGCAAGGAATCGTTTTCGATTCCATACATTTTTTTTAAAATTATTTTTTTTATATGTAAAAATTGTATTTCTTAGGAAACATTTATCATTTAATTAATTTTTGTATTTGTTATTTGGTTTTGTGATATTAATGAATTAAATTTTTTGCTATTTTTCGAAAAAGTTTAAAGTAGAGATTTAAATTTACAAAATTCTAATTTTATAAGCTGGTATAAAAAAAATAATTTATGCAATTTATATGTGAAAACAAATATATTTTTAACACTTTTAACTTTTCTATAATTTTTTTACACGTATAAAAAATATTTATATAACTAGTTTTTCACATTTATGTAAATTAACTCTAACTCTTTTCGTATCGTTAATTTTTCCACATTTCGAAGTTTATTGATAAAAGAAATATTAATTGATTCAGGTGCTGACCTGAAAGCCTATTTCTCCTTTTTGTAATAATTTGGCCTGCCTTTGAGAACAGTCTTTCGGATGGAACCGAAGTTGCCAATATTGGCAAATATTCCATTGCAACTTCGTACAAGTGCGGATACGTTGGTTTCATTGTAATCCACTCTTCGAAAGGGTTCGTGTTTCTAGAACATACCGGTCGGTTTAAATACTGCCTTATTTCAATTGCAATTCCACCCGCACTATCTGAATCTGCATTTGTTAATTGTTGGCTTTGTAATTGGTCATGATATGACCATATGCTGTTGACGTCATTATTATTAAGATTTTCGTCTCTCAAACAATCTTGGGCAACTTCTTTGGTCCTATTTTTTAGTATCGTATCTAAAAAATAAAATAAATAAAAATTAATATTTTGTATTTTAATTTTTATAATTAATAAGATTTTCTGCTAAACTTCATCTCTAAATCAATTAATTAAAATTATTTTCTAAAAGTTCCTCTAGAATTCAATTATATTTTAAAATAATTTTTGATAGATTTGTTTATAGTTATTTTTCGCATTATAAAAATCAAAATAAGTTGCACTTTTTTTTTACTAATAATTGTGGTATTTTGATGCAATGTTTGGAAGAAAAATCGAAAAAGTCGCAATTTTTTAAAATATGTCTAAAAAAGTATCGATTTTCTTAATTTTCCTGACAATAATTCTGTTTCTCTGACATTTCCTGACTTTACTGACATATAGCCACCCTGGACTTACTAATGGCGCCAACAGCAGTTGCAGCAGAAACAGCATTTTGAAAATGCAGTTTTTTAAATCTTGGATCGAGAATTGTTGCCATTGCAGCTACTTTAATATTTTCTACTGTCCTAAATCTTTTTTCCAAGTTAGTTAACAATGTTTGTTTAAAATTAAATGAAACGGGATGCGTTGCTTCGTAATTGTTGATACTCTGAAAAAGGAAACAATTAAAAATATTATAAGAGACCGTTAAAATAATACGTAACGCTTTTTGGGACCTAAATTTCCGGAAAATAGTGTTACGTATTTTTTGAACGACCCTTAATCTAAATTATATTTTAATGTAATATATTTTTGAAACGGATAATAATATGAATATACTATTTACTTTTTGAAGAAGGGAAATCAGTGGTATACACTTGCTCAATGTAACCGACTTCTCTGAGCAAATTTCCTTCGTTACTTGAGACATAGGTTTTAAAATATCTCTAATCTCAATGGCAATTTCTTCTTCCTCAGGTGTCAACATCATTGGGGGTTTTCCTCTTGTCGACTTTTCTCTGGAAACTTTTAACAATACTCTTCCAATGAAATCGGACAGTTCCAAAAATCGATCGAGCATATCGAATGTGGAATTCCACCGTGTTTGTACTTCTTGTATTAGTTTTAAGCACTGGTTTTCATTCCTATTACATTCTTTCCTCTGTAAAGCTTTGAGCTCTTCAGTTGCTCTATCACTTTTGCGAAAAAAAGTAACAATTTTTTTTATTTTTCGAACAACTGTTTTCAGGGAACTGATGTTATTATTTTCATTCCCCTGATCGTCGTCTGAAAGGTCATTATCGTCGTCGCTGTTTTCGGGCAATGAATCCTGATTATTTTCAAGGCTGCTTTTCCTTAAGGGGTTACGCCACCCTGAAATTTTCAAAAAAATTTATTTTTTTTTTTTGCTTAATTTCAAAGTTTATATTCTAACGAATATTTTGAGATGTCGCCGAAGACAATGTCTCACTAATTACAAAAGTTATGGTCATTAGAAGTCAGCGCGGTGGGGACGCGCCGAGAGCTGCTGGAAGCAGCGACTTTCTATTTTCGAATGGTCTAGGGGGCCCTTTCATGATTTAGGAAGGGTCCTTTTCATTGTATCCCTTCCATTCTTAAATAAAAAAAATTATGGCCCAGGAATTGCTGATTAAATAGTAAATTGAAAAATTTTCAAGTTATAATACACTAAAGTTCATTTTTTTCTTCTTTTGCGTTTTTCTCGAAACCACAATTTTCGAGACGGTGTACACGATAACTCAAAAACTATTCAATCGATTGACTTGAAAATTAATATACATCTTCCTAAATAGATTTTCCACAGAGTGACGTGGGATTTTTTTGATTGAATAATTTGAAAATTTTTTATCCAATTTTTTATACGGTAATTTTAGCCAAAAAAAAATGTCAATTTTTGAAGTGCTTCCATTTGCGTAAAAAATTTTTTTTTTTAAAATGGCTTCGTCACTCTGTTCAAAATTTATCACTTTTTAAGAAAAATATTGTTTTACTTGTTTCTGACAAAAATTGAACTGCCAATCATGTACACCATCAAGGAGTGCTCCGGAAAAATTGATCCACGCCAATAGTTATATCTCCGCCATTTTTAATTAAAAACAATTTTTTTTTAAATATTTATAAAGCTCAATATATGTACTAAAGCATCAATAAATGTAAAGAAGTCCTACCTGAAACAGTTTTATCAAAAAAATTCCTAAAAAACCATCCGATTTTCATGCGTTCAGGGTGGCGTAACCCCTTAAATTTAAGGAATTTTGTGCTACAATGTTTAATGAGTGGGCAAAGCATGCGATATGCTTGTTATCACCAAAAACAATTTTGCAAGCGTTGACAATGTTAGCCGCATTGTCGGTTAAAACTGCCTTGACGTTGCCAGGTTGTATGCTCCATTCGGAAATTAGATCCTTTAAGATCACGCATAAATTTTCAGTTGTTTTTCTTTCAGCCATGGGTTTGGCTCCAATTGTCACAGATTCTATTTCGATTCCTAAAAATTTTGTGTGCTATTATTATTATATATATATTCTCCATAAGTATAAATAAAGTTTTAATCTAAATATGTTTTATCAATTTATTTTATAAAATTTCTTAATTAAAATAATTTAGGAATTTATTATTGATAATATGTTTATTTACCATTAAGATAGTGAACCGTTAATCCCAGATAACTTTTAGTAGACATTATTTCCGTCCAAAGATCCGTTGTAATAATTAAATTGTTTTTTGTTTGGAGAATTTTTTAAAATTTTTGTTGGAGAATTTCATATTTCTGCTCCATCATCAACGTAACAGTTTTCTGACAGGGAGGTTTATACAAGGGTTGTAGGATTTTCACGAACTGTTTAAATCCTTTTCTCTCTGTGAGAGATAAAGGTTCATTATCGTGTGCGATCATGTACAGCAAGGCATCATTCACTTCCCCACATCGTTGACCTCCACCTGATACATATATGTCAAAAATAAAATTATTACTAATGACATTAATATTTTATTTAATAAATTTAATTAAAGCAATAATATTATAACTTACGAGAAAAAGTTGCAGTTCTTTCTAAACATCGATCGAGAGGCCCATTAGTTTTTTCAGTTACGACTGATATCTGAGAAAAAAATTGTCAATTTCATACGTATAATATTTAATTGTGATGTTTTCGCGTCTTTATTACTGCAATGAACTGATTAATTTTAGGTTATTAACTTAATTTAAAAGTTACATGTTCAAATAAAAAATATTGGAATAGTAGGTAAAAATTTATTCACACAAATACATTCGGACAAGTAATTTCTTAATATAAGAATTGCTATAATGTTTCGAAATCAATACGATTTTCTCCCCAGGAAGTCTCTATAAAATTATACAAAAAATAAAAATACAAAAAACACTAAGACGTTAAATAATAATTTTAAAAAAACATCAAATAAAAAATAATAAATAAAAATACAGAAATAATAACAATAAATTATAGTTTCTGCGACAAATAACACAAAATAAATAAATAAATGACAAACAAAAAATATTTTCAACAATTTACACTATAAAAACCACTAAAATAAAATAAATTGAACACGTATAAACTTTGAAGTCAAAATTAAAAATAAACTCTAAACATTACAACGATTCCTTATAAAGGTTAATGAAAGAATAAGACAAATCAAAACAAAAATAAGAATAAGAAATAGAGAAAGCAAATGAGAATTTTCTTACGTTACATTATTTGTTAAATTATTATTTAAAGTCTTCGTGTATTCTCATTATTGGTTTCTGCATTATTATTAGTTTATTTATTTATTGTTTAATGTATTCGTATAAAAATTTTTTTTATCTACTATACCAAATAAAATCAACTCAGACGTAAAAGTTTATTCCAAAAAATATCTTTCAATGCAAAATAATTTTGTTTTTAAGATAAAACAATTAAATTGAATACATAAAAGTTATATACTTAACCTCCTTTTCACTCTCCTGACTGTTACTGTCGTTATTTTCGTTTTCAGTTGACGAAAAACTTTCTGTCCTTTTCCTTTTCTTCGAAAATGAAAGCAGATTTATTTTATGGATTGTTTGTAGGTGTTTAGATAACGAAGAAGTGCTTTTACAGAATTTTAATTCTACGAGGCACACTCCGCAACGCATCTTATCTCCTTTATTTATTTTTTGAAAATAATTCCAAACTTCACTTGGCGGCATTTTGGAAAAGCAATTTAAGACAAGAAACTTTGCCAAATTCCAAGTAAACACTGTGACAAGAATGTGATTATACCGGTTATTCATATACCACGTGTACAGATTAGCGCCAAAAAAAGTAAATAATGAGTAATTTCAGTTTTCGGACCAATCACCATAAACATGCTGTTGGGTCAACCAATAACGGCATATTCAGAGTATGCTCACAGCAACTCTTGAAACGCCCAATAAATATATCTCTGCGCAGACAGCAGACGTTGAAATTGTGACGTAAGAATCGATTCCTCTCGATTTTCTTTAGTATAGAATCGATTCCAAAGAATCGATTCTTGGAAGTCGAGAATCGATTCTTCACAGGAATCGGACTCGATTCTACCATCACTAACACGCCTCGAACTCAGCATATTGAGCTTTCAACCACTGTCAAGAGGGGAATGGAAAAACGCTTTCAAAGCATAAAATTTCTTTACCACCTCTGATAAAGATAGGCAATGCCTGAAATGCAAGAAGACTGGTGCCCAATGAAAGGGAGAAGCAGTTAGTTGCAGTCGTATTGACCCCGCCAATACCCCATTTGCTGGAGATTGACAAGGGCAAGCCTCGTGTACTACCAGCGGGGACCACGCGGAGGTTCTGCTTCCAGACCGAAGTCTCACCAGACCCGTACGAGACGGGCGTAATGTGTTCGATAGTCACTTAGTCGTCTCTTAAGCAGGTTCTACATGGGATGCCCGACACGACAAGACGTGCCCCCTCTGCTCCATCTACCAAATGCTTTCCCCTCATCACGTAGGAGAAGTTGGTATTGGAGAGGGGGCCCGTTTCACGTGTCGGGTATCCCATGTAGAACCTGCTTTACGACACGCAGTTGTGACTGCGGATTGCCTATTCTCTTGCCGGGTCAAACACGGCCCCATTGTCGGCGTGTCCCATTCGAATCGACGACACCAACAATGGGCGAAGGTTGTCGGTCTATATTAGACTTGCCGGGCCGACACGGCACTGCCCATCATCATCAGTATGCCAACACTCTGCAAGATAGCCAGGGCGAACCGAGGACTAACTGCAAGTGTTGGCGACCCTCCGAGCCCGTTTTAGTTGCCTTTTACGACATGCATCGGATCACAGGGGGCCTATTCTGCGCCCGGGTCCCCCACGGGAGTCTTTCCGTGTACAGAAAAATCGTGATTTAAAGATTGGTATGATAACACAGGCACATAAAAAAAATATTTCTTGACCCAGAGAACAGACCCATTTTCCCGCTACCACCCTCTTACACTTCCACATGGGAAAGAGGGGGTTGGGATTTCAGATTTCAAAAAAAGTCTAGTAGGGTGTCCATTCCTATGTTTTTTGGGTCGCTGAAAACGAAAAAGACCAACGAAAACAAATGCGTCCCTCCCTTTACCTCCAAGAACGTCCTAAATACACCCCTGGAGGGGATTAAAATTAGGTACAATTTTCTCGAAAAGTCGAATACGGTGTCTATTCTTATGTTTTTTGGTTCCCTGCAACCGAAAAAGACTACAAAAAAATTAGTCCTCTCCTTCACCCCCTAGCACTCTTTTACTACCCCTAAAGGGGGTAAAAATTTACGGTTTTATGAAAATTATACACGACTTTTCATGAAACCGAAAAGTTTAACCTCCTCCCTAGGGATACTTAGGGAGTGCTAGGGGGTGGAGGAGGGAACGAATTTATTTTTGGTGGTCTCTTTCGGTTTCAGGGACCCAAAAAACATAGGAGTAGACACCACATTCGACTTTTCGTGAAAATTGTAATTTTAACCCCCTCTAAGGGTGTATTTGGGGCGTTCTAGGGGGTAAAGGGAGGCACGCATTTGTTTTTGTTGATCTTTTTCATTTTCAGCGACCCAAAAAACATAGGAATGGACACGCTACTCGACTTTTTTGAAAACTGAAATGCTAACCCCCTCACTCCCGTGTGGAGGTGTAAGGCGGTGGTAGTGGGAAAATAGGCAATTAAAAAATTTTTCATGGCCATATTCGGTTTCAGCGACCCCAAAAACTTAGAATTATAAGGATCTGTCCTCGTGGTCACGAAATTTTCTTTTGTGTGCCTGTGTAATTTCCGACGGTAGTGTACGTATATTTTATTTTTGTATAATATTGACCAAATTTTCGAGTTAGGAATTTTCGAAATTTTGGATTTGTAACTGTAGACATATCTAAAAAGTTGTTGACATTTTGAGCCCACTTGAGATTTTGGTCTTGACTGCGAAGGGGTTGATATCAACAAAGTATCGAATAAATTTTCTTTCAAAAACTTTTTACTGAAAAGTGTATCTTTTTATAGACAATTTAAAAAAATTGACCTCAATATTTTTTACCAATAAAAAGTTATGCAGTTTCAAAGAAAAAAAGTTGAAAAATTTCAAAGTTGTATCTTCTATCTTTATGAATATATATTTCCAAAAAGTTTCACTACTTTTTTAGTTGCATGAAATTGCTTCACTATTCTTTTGTGTGACGTCAACTAATTATAAGTGGTAAGGAATGAGAAAGGAGGGGTGAGTTGGGAAATCGACTCTCACACTTGCAACCATGTGTATTTTACCGAGTTTCTTGTTGGAGAACGCTGTGCACAATATTGATTTGATTGTGTCGTCATTTATTAGGTCGTGTTTTTTGTATTTAACAACAAGCCCGGCATTCCAAGCATGCTGGGCGATGTGGTACAAAATTGATACGTTGACGACCCACCGAAATAAGTTTAGTAATATAATCTTCAAATTATTAGTACAAATTATTATATTACTCGCAAGAGTTGCCCTATATTGTAAGTCTGATCAACAAAAGAATCACCATCATCTATATTAAATAACCCCTATAATTTAAAATTAAGTCACCCCAGGCGTTAAGGTCACTACACAAAGTGAGAGGTCATTTACGAAGTCCTTTCGCGCTGATAATTAACAGTTTTTTATTTTCTTTTAAATTAAATTTAAATATTCAAGTTTCTAAATTTTTTATGCTGGCTTAAGGTTATTGATGTGCCTCCACCACTTTGGGCTTAATATCTATCATTTCTTATTGTGTTATAATTTGGGAAATTAATCGAATGGACTTCTCTGAGTTTAGTTTCGACAATCCAAGCTATGCCCACGTTATATTTTATAATGGTTTAAAGTAAATTAAAGCGCTCTGTATTGTGAATTAGTGAGTTTACGTTTATTGATAATATACGGAGAGTTCGCCATTTACAACCCGGCTGGACGTATAATGTCTAATGACTCTCTAATTCTCCAGTTTTAATTTGGTTCTTTAATACGCAACCTGCGCAGAAAACAGTATTTTCTGCTGCTTCGCTCTCATTTAAAACACCACAATCGCCTGGGTTAGGTTTGATGTTACATTTTACACATCTGTATTCCCGGTTACAAAGTTTTGCCACATGACCATATATTTGACAATTATAGCATTGTACCGGTCATTTCTTCGTATTTTACTCCAAGAAGAAAAGAAGTTAATTGGTTTAAAAGTACTTCAACACTCATCAGCTAGGTCTCTTAGAATGCTGTTACACTTAACTGAACCTAACAGGCATGGGTGGAAAGTGTGGATGAGCTAAAAGCATATAAGAAAGTATAGTATATTACGCTCTGCTTGGGCAAATTTTTTCTAAACTCAGTATTTTCAGACCTATAAACTAGGGGAGATTAGGAAATTGTGGGCCACTTCCATTATTTAACAATATTTAAAAGTTTGATCATTCAATTTTTTTTTCTTTTGTTCGTCTAAAGTAAATTTTTCATAAGAATTTCATGACTTTACAACGCTTTACAATTACCTATAAGGCGTTAACAACAACCACCTGAAAAATTTCATTTAAATATTTCTTTTGGGCGTTTATGTTTTATTGTTTTTACAAGGGTTTTCAAGAATTATACTTAAGGAAAATATTTTTTTAATTATTGTGTGGCATTGGTACTTTGACTCCAAAAAGAAATTTTGCATCACATTTAAATGAATAAATAATATAAAGCTTTTTGTAAAATGAAGCATTCGGGGAATTGTGGGCCACATTTTTTGGGAAAATATTTGTTGCTTGTTTTTGTCGATTTAATTGCAAAATTGTATCAATGCAGGTATACATACATAATACTTTTTCTTTTCTAATTTTAAATTAATAATTATAAAATTTATAACTTTTTTCATATTTCGAACCATTTAATAAATTCATAATTATTTTTTATTTGGAACTTAATTCAGGCAATGCCCCACAATTCCCCAACATTGTTAAAACTCATAAAAATGAATTTTTTTTGGTAAAACTCAAATTTCTTTTTTATCCCACATGCACAAAAATGGCGCTTTTAGATAGCTGACGACAGGGAGTAAAGTCACTCATTTGTTCGACCATATGAAAATGGCATTTGTGCATTAGGAATAAAAAATATCGTAAGTAACACGGGAATAAAGGCAGCCAATTTGTTTACGATGATTTTTGTGACACTCGTTCCGGTCTCGGGGCGCCTACGGCGCCCTCGACCTCCACTCGTGTCACAAAAATCACTGTAAACACATGGCTGCCTTTATACCCTTGTTGCTTAATATACTATTAGTTAAGTGATAATTTTAAGAAACTGACTATGATATATGCTAAGTTATACCGCCCACTGACACAAAAAATTTGAAAAAATCAACTTGTTGACAGCGGAGTACGACTATAGTCCTAAAATTGCAAGCATTTCATGCTTTTTGGTGCTGAAACTCTTGCTACGCATGGTGCTAATGGTGGTTGGAAGGGGAAGAGAGGCGTGGCCAAATCTTGCGTTGCAAGAGTCTCAGCACCACCCCGGTGGCATTGCTCATTTTTTCCATTGTATGAAAAGACATGAGAGCTGAAAGTGTCCACCAGCTGGCGCCAGCTATGCACGGGCCCTGTTTCAGTTAAAATGCATGGGATATTGCAAAAAAATTAAATTTTCACTAATTAAAATTAATTAAATCGTATTTCTTTGTACACAATATTAATATAGAAACTTTTTAACATATTTTTTGATAGTTATAGCCTTATAAAAGAGTAGAAT